GCCGCCAGGCCCCGACGCCGTTACCCCCGCACGTGCGGGAGGAGACCGGGGGGGGGGGGGGGCAACTCCGGCGCCCACGCCTTTGTCGGGCGTTGCCTTGGGCCCCGTTTGGTTCTAGGCCTCCCGTGTAGGGTTCGAGCTGATGGGGTCGGCAGATCGCGCCGCATCGCCGTGGCATCGCCGACGCGGCTGGACGTGGAACCCGATTTTCGCCACGCCGACGGGGCCGATGCATCGCCGACGGCGCCCGTCATCGCCGATGCATCGGCGAAGGCACCACCACTCGCATGCGTGGGACGGCCATGCCCCAACTCCGTAACTTCCGCATGGGGGGTGGGATAGGAGGAGGAGGAGGAGGAGGAGGAGGAGGAGGAGGAGGAGGACTTGCATCGACCCCCAGTGTAGACCACTGATCGTCGGCAGGTGCCCAGTGGCCCACCCCGCCCAGAAGTTTCCGCAGGGGCGGGGGGACAGGCTCGGGAAGGAGATGCGTCAGCCCCCAAGGAACCATTGATGGCCGACCTCCTCCTCCTCCTCCTCCTCCTCCTCCCTCCTCCCCCTCCTCCCCTCCCCCCCCTCCCTCCTCCTCCCCCTCCTCCTCCCTCCTCCTCTCTCCTCCTCCTCCTCCTCCTCCTCCTCCTCCTCCCCTCCTCCTCCTCCCCTCCCCCTCCCTCCCCCTCCCCCTCCCCATCCTGCTCCCCTCCTCCTCCTCGCCTCCTCCTCCTCCTCCTCCTCCTCCTCCTCCTCCTCCTCCTCCTCCTCCTCCTCCTCCTCCTCCCAGTAAGCGTGCGGACTTGCTGTCGGGGGCTCATCGGCGGTCCATCGGCGACGTATCGCCCATTCAGGGTCGATGTGTCCCCCCCATGAGCTGGTCCGACCGGTCCCACTCACCAAGGTTTCCCCAGGATGTCTGGGGAGGACCAGACGGCCTCCAGATCACCCCTCACGAATCCCAGAGGGCCCCAAGGGCTCCAAAACACTATGATACCGGAGAAAAACGCCAATCAGATTTGTTTAATCTTCCAATTGTTCCCTTTTAGGGCTATAGAGCTATCGGGCTATAGGGCTATCGGGCTGCAGGGCTATAGGGCTATCGGGCTATAGGGCTATAGGACTATAGGACTGTGACCTATAGGGCCATAGGGCTATAGGGCTATGGGGCTATAGAGCTATATGGGCTATGGGCTATGGGGATATGGGGCTATAGGGATATAAGGCTATAGGGCTACAGGGCTATAGGGCTATGAGACTATAGGGCTATAGGGCTACTGGGCTATTGGATATTGGGCACCCCCGGGCACCCGGGCACCCCCGGGCACCCGGGCACCCGGGCCCGGCCACCGAAATCGCACGCACCTCACCGGCCACCCGGGCACCCAGGCACCGCCGGGCACCCGGGCACCCGGGCCCGGCCACCGAAATCGGCCGCACCTCTCACCTAACCCCTTAGTCCGCTAGGACCCCTACAGAGGCAAGCTCTGATTGGGGCACTTGGCGCGGAAGGCCAGTGACACCTTGGGCAAGCGGCGCCTGTGACAACCCTCTGAGAATTGATTCAACGAGATCAAACGAGATGTGAATGTTTCTCCACTGGACTCGGGTCTCTCCAGAACTACTGGAGAGCAGCAGTCAGACGCTATGCTAAGCTGCTGGGCCTGGGGCGCGGTAAGCGCCACCCTGATCCAAAATGCCTACTGCCGGGCATGGGGGGAGTCTGAAAACCAGGGCAGGACGCCAAAAATGTTACGCAGGAAGTTCCCGCACCGATACGTCCACGACGTCTCCAGCTGGGCGCACTCTGACCCGGACTCCGAGGCGGATCCAGCCACGGCGACGAGGGCCCCTTGAGAAGGCCCAATGAGGCGTATATAAACGAGCGTTGGGTAACTGGTGTCGTTATCCGCAGACCCCCCTCCTCGATCTATCCTCGATCCTCGCCCTATCCTCGATCCTCGCCCTCGATCCTCGATCCTCGCCCTCGATGTCGCTCGCCGCCGAGTCTATCCTCGACCTTCCTCCCCCCCCCTCGCCCTCTTCTTCCAGCGGGACGTTGGAGGGGGCGGGGAGGGGGCCGGGGAGTCCGGGCGGGGGCCGCTACGCCTAGCCAGGCCACTCTTGGCCCCATACGATGGCGTACAGGCCCCTCGTGGGTAGGGGCCCGGAGGGCACGTTCACCACTCCAGTGCCCAGAATGTTCTTGCCCAGCGCGCGTCTACTGTGCCACAAATCGGACGGGGCTGGGACGAGGATACATCCGTTCCAGAGCATTCCGGAACGCTCTCAGAGCGGTCCGGAGCGCTCTGAGAAGGCCGCGGCGCCCGAGACATCCTCCAGAGCCGCCGGATCTCAGAGATTCTCGGTTCATGCTCTGCCGAATTTATCTTCGTCTTGGCCTCTCAAGAATACCCGCATAAACATACAGCCGATACGTGACCGTTTTCCTATTCATTGTTTTGCCGATCGGCGCGGGCCCTCGCACCCCCCTTGCTCCGCCCCCCATGGAGTGGATCTTGGCTGTTCTGGGCGCCTATTTCGAGCAGGTGGAGTCTCTCATCCATAATGGGACGCACTGTTGCAAACAGTCGCAGTAAGCAGAGCTCAGGGGCCAGACCCCCCCCCGCCCAATGTTGAAACGCCGAATGAGAAAACGCTCGCGTACGGGCCACTGTGGGCACGCGGTGGGCCTTGGCTTTCGGGCCGTTCCCGAGAGGCTGGCCAGGGGATCTGTTCGTGGCCCGGGCTCGGCGTGGCCAGATCGTCGCCTTGTTGTTCCTTGTTATCGGCCTCCTTTGCGATAGTGCAAGGGCCGTAGAGAGAGAGAGAGAGAGAGGAAGACATGCATTATATACAGTGGAAACCCATGCCAAGAAACGCTCTGCTTGCCTCCAGGGTGCCCCGGGTGTCTTGTGCTTCGATGGTTCTACGATGGGAAGATTGACGTTCCCATCTACCAAACGTCAATGGACGTCCTGGGGTCTCAGGGTTGTGTTTCTTGCGGCAGGTTTCTTGTGATCGAGCTCCTACCGTAATCCGTCGGAGGTTCGCACGGATTTCTTGGATCTGCGCTCGGCCTCTCTTCCTGGCGCGCGGCGCGCGCTAGGGGCGCCGCCAGGGATTTCTGGCGCCGATCCAAGACATCCGCGAGGATCTCTCAAAGGTTCGAGGCTCTCCAGAAAGCTAGGCTTATGCAGTATATGCACCGTCTGCGCATCGCTGTGATTCTCCTCTCCCGGAGGTGCGCCAGCATGACGTGACCGCCCGCAGCTTCGGGTTGAGCGACGTCTTACTTCATCTCCCCTTCCCCTTCCCTCGTCCGATTGCCATGGGGCTCTTTAGCGCCTGTGACAAAAGGAGGAGGAGGAGCAGGAGGAGGAGGAGGAGGAGAAGGGGGAGGGCGAGGAGGACAAGGAGGGCGAGGAAGAAGCGGAGAAGGACGCGGCAATCAGGTCGACGGACCTTGCCGCGCCATTTGTGTGTCTCCCCCCCCCCCGGAGGAGCTCGTTGCGCACGAGTTCACCGACGAGCCCACGCCCGCGCCCGGAGGCCCCGCGCGCGGCGGCAGCCCGCCGGGCCACTCCAGCACGGTTTCGCTGTCGTCGAGCCGGGCGGTCACGATTTCCCTCTCCTCCTCCTCCTCCTCCTCTTCTTCCTCCCCCGTATAGCCATGTTGGCTCAAGGTAGCCGGCTGCGAGTTTTCTCGATATCCATTCCCTGCCCAGTGGGTGATCATCTCCTCGTTGCCCTGCGTTTCATGGGCCGCAATCGTGGCTTGTCCGTGGGCAACTCTTCGGTCTATGCCATTGCCATCATATCTGCTGTCGCTTTTCACGATGCGGTCCGGCTTGGCCACGTCAAGGGACGACCACTCATCCTTCGAGCGTCGTGCGCAAGACGTTGCTCGTGGTCTCCGCTTTGACGTTTTCCATCAGCTCCCACATCGCGACTCACTCTGAGACATTGTCGAGGACGCTTCTGGGTCTGGCCGCTTTTCGTTGCAGGAGTGCCTGTTCAGTCGAGACAGCGCCCAGAACTGCACCGCCAGCTCGCACAAGGCCTGGACCTCCACCGCGAAGTTCAAGGCCAAAGGCGACTCTCAAGCTCGAGTTCAGCCTGCTGTTCGTGCTCCGGGCAACGGGACCTCCTCGGGGTGCCCGACGCCCGCGCGTACAGATTCTAACAGTATCTTGCAGGACGCGGTGCAGAAGCGTGCACCCGTCGGCAAGTCCGTGCAGGCGGTTGGCGCTGGAGGTGGTCTCCCTCGCGCCGACGCTGTTTTCCACCTTGGCTAACTTGCGGTCAGATCTCGAGGGGCTGGAGCCCGGACTTGCCGCATGCAAGCAACAACGGCGAGAAGACCGACGTGCCTTCGATGGCCCCCTCAAGCAGGTCAGCGACCAGAACAGAGAGTACAAGCTGGACTTCCGCGGCCATCGCCGCGACCGAGCTCCAGATCACCAACGTCGATGACGAGCTGCAACAGCCGCTGAAGCAGGCCGCCACAAGTACCAAGAGGACCCCATCGAGTTGCCGTAGGGCGCGCCGACAGCCGACCTTTCCGTGAACATTTTGCCCGACATGCAGCTGGCTTGTGATTCTGCCGTCTCTGTGGTCGCCGACGCCGCGCTGCCCAGCTCGCCCGCCTCCGCCCACCCAGTGCTGAACAGCATCAAGACGCAGAGTGTCGACCAGAAAGGGCCCCCGCCTGACAAGAGGGACTTGCACTCCATCATCGCTGTTGCCTGCAAAGTGATATCCGAGTTCGACGTCATCGCCAGCAAGCGCAAGGCTTCTGCCACCGCCATGCGTGTGAAAGCCGAGTTCTCGCTCAAGTACGCTACCGACTCCGACGACCTGATGCCGATCCGCATTCGGGAGGTTGGACATGTTGAAAGTCCAGGGCTCGACCGAATGCGAGTCGCTGGCGAAGGGGCTCCCGCTCGATAAGAAGAACCTGCACTCCATCATCATTGTCGCCTCCCGCGTGATTTCCGAGTTCGACGCCGTCGCCGGTAAGCGCCAGGAGTCGGCCTTCGTCAGGTCTGTGGAAACGGAGCCTGTGCTCAACCGTGCCATCGTCTCCGGCGACCTGCCACGTATAATCATTACGACGACCTGCTGAACTCCCTGCGCGACGGCTCGCGTGACACGATCGGAGTTCAGAATTTGTTCAGCTGCGCATCGCAGGAGGACCTCATCAGCACCGCAATGTGCTACGGCGACATTGGAGGCGGCCCCACTACGCCGGACTGGTCCCAAACGGACATGGAGGCAGACCCCCATTTTTCAGCCACCAGCGAGTCCGAGAGCACCGATTCCCCACTTCCGATTTCCACACCTCCTACAAGATGAACATCGGCTGGTGCACCGCCCCGCCCGCCCTGCGCGCGCGGCCATGCCAGGCTCGACGGACGTCCCCGCAAAGCGGCGTTCGCTCCTTCTCCTCCTTCTCCTCCTTTTCCTCCTCCTCCTCCTTTTCCTCCTCCTCCTCCTTTTCCTCCTCCTCCTCCTCCTCCTCCTCCTCTTCCTCCTCCTCCTCCCTCTCCTCCTCCCTCCCCTCCTTCTCCCCCTCCTCCTCTTAGGGTGCTACTCCTGGGAGGTTCAAGTCAGCATCGACGCTGGAATATCGGCTGTGGGAAACCAGCCTAGTACAGCAGAGTCCCACTTTATCTCGCTGAACCTGGCCTGGCCACGCTGGCCCCTTCAGCTCCCCCCCCCTCCTCCCCCTTCTGCCTCCCCCTCCCCCTCCTCCCCCCCCTTCCCCTCCAGCGGGGGCAAGTCTGCGGCCGCGAGCGGGGCGAAGGCGGCTCGGCCGCGGGCAACCAAGCGGCCAGCGGCGGCGCCGCGCGCGACCAAGCGGCCAGCGGCGGATAGAAATGCAGCGAGCGCGCAGGAGGTTGAACTGAATTATTTACACGTCTTGGAAGTGTCTCTTCCCCATTGCTTTTTAGACTCGACGTCGCGTTTTTTCGCAAGTCTTCCGCTCGGCACGGGGCACAGCAGTACAGCGCATCCACGCCAACGAGCTGCAGCACGACACTGTGGGAGTGGATCGCAATTCGGGGAACAAGTGCTGCCGCACACAAGCTTTCGGAGGCCCGCGCCGATCTCTTGAGTCCGCACTGGCCCCCCCTTCCCTGGCGCGCGGAGCGCGCCAGGGGCGGCGTTGGAACCCTTTCCCTGCACCACCATAAGGGGGCTGCAGCGCCGCTCCGAGGCACCCGCGCGGACCTCCGAAAGCTCCTGTTTGTGCGAGGGGCTGCCTGGGAGGTCGCGGGGGAGGTGGCGAAGGTCCTCCTCCCGACCGACGCTCCCTCCTGGAGGACGAGGAGCGGATGCGGACCCAGCCGAGCTCGGACCCCGACCGAGCTCGGGCCCGAGCGCCGCGCTGCAGCGGGCACCCCCGGGGGTCCGAGATCGGTCGGGCTCCGAGTTCGGTCGGGTCTGACTTCGGCCTTGGGCTCTGAGGGCTGAGCCCTTGAGATCCGACGTTGGGAACACGCCAAACACGGCGAGCAGTCACGGCCAGAGCCCTGGACCCCGTAGGTATGCGCCAGGTTTCGAGCCGGATAGGTCTGTAAGAGTCCTTGGGCACGAAACCAGGCGGAAATGCCAGGTGTGAGCAAATGGCAACGCCTGGATCTCAGGGAAGCAACCGAGTTCGGCCTTTCTCCTCAGAGTCCCGTTGTCTCGATTCCATGACGCCGACTCCCATGCACAGGGTTCGACCCCTTCCCCGGAGCCGGCTTTCCATCCCGAGTCAGTTTTCACATTCCCGAGGGCCGGTGAAGGGCCCCGGGAGGCCGAACATCGACTACACGTGAGAGTGGCCCCCCGCCGCAGCGACCTCTGGTGCGGGCCCCCGGGGCCCACTGGGGCCCTCCCGATCGCCGAGCGCGGTGCGATGGCAGCGGCCTGCGGGCACGGAGCCGGCCACCCCGCGCCCCCCCCCCCGAGCCGCGCACCAAAGGTCACTCTTGCCGGAGGGAGGAGGAGGAGGAGGAGGAGGAGGAGGAGGAGGAGGAGGAGGAGGAGGCGGAGGAGGAGGAGGAGGAAGGGAAGGACCGTGCGCCGAGGTTTTGGCCGTGCCTCGAGGGGGTCGGGGCCCCTCCCCGCTCCGCGGCCGCCCCCGTGTCTCCTCTCGGCCCCCCAGTGGGTGCGCGCTCGCCCCGTGGCCTCCCCGGGCGCGAGTCCCGGCGACGCGCCGCGCGGCCGCCCGCGTCCCGCGGCAGAGAAGCACAGCCAACCCGCACGATGAGAGCGCACGACAAGGATCTGTAGGGCGACGAGATCTATGCATATCCACTGCTCCTGGCCAGGCCCATCCTGGGCCCAGGAGCTGTGTGTATGCCTCCCTGGCCAGGCCAGGAGGGCGTATACACCGCTCCTGGGCCCAGGATTGGCCTGCCCAGGAGCAGTGGATATGCATAGATCTCGTCGCCCTAGATCTGGGCCTCCTGGATGGGGTCCGAGCAGATGGGGTCCGAGGATCGCGCCGCATCGTCGATGCATCGGCGATGCGGCTCGACGTGGGCCCGATTTTCTCCACGCTGGAGTCGCCGATGCATCGCCGATGCATCGGCGATGCATCGGCGACGCATCGGCGAGGTATCGCCGATGTATCGGCGATGCGGTGCGCTCCTCCGATCCCATCTACTCTGACCCCATCTAGGAGGCCTCTAAAGGATGCACGGGCCTTGGAGGCCAGGGCGGGGCGTGGCCGGCGAGCGCGGCCGAGAGCGGGCCGAGGGGGAAGGGTGCGAGGGCAGCCTCGAAGAGCTGCCCCCTCCTCTCCTTGCCGTGCGGGTCGACCGTGCGTTGGCTGTGCCGCCCGCGGAGGCTCGGCTTGGCAGCACAGATCCTGCCGAGCCCATTCGACGGCGCAACGCCGCGCAGGGACTCGCGAGAGCGCCCCCTCGGCGAAGGGGCGGCGGGGCGGGCCCATGCGGCGCCCCGCCGACGCCCGCCACCCTTCCGGCCTCGCGCCGCCGCCGCGGCCGCGGGCACGGGCGCGGGCCACGCGGGGAGGCTGGCTGCCGGCCGCCAACGATCGATAACGACACCGATAACGGGAATGGTCACCACGATGTCGCGATCAGAACGATCGAAAACGATCACAAGTGGTAGCGATAACGATCCCACTGGTCGCAACGGTCACATTGATTACAACGATGGCGATCACAGCGGTCAAAACAATTACAACGGTCACAACGGTAACGCTCGGCAACAATCACGACGGTCGCACGGGAAGGCCTTTGGCCAGGTGTTTTTCCGAGCGATCTGCAAGTTGAGAAGATCAGTTATTTGTATTTCTAGGCATCCCAGGCGGGGTCAGAGAAGGTGGTAACGGAGGATTGCGCCGCATCGTTGATGCATCGGCCATGCGGCTTGACGCGGTCCTCGATTCTCTCCGTGCCGACGTCGCCGATGCGCCGAGCTGACGTCGCCGATGCAATGCCGGTGTATCGGCCATGCGGCTCGACACGGTTCCCGATTTTCTCCGTGCCGACGTCGCCGATGCGTCGACGTCGCCGATGCATGTCCGA